ACTCGTGATGCCTACAAAGGAGAAGAATATTGGATTGTCTCTCCCATGGCCAAATAAGTATCATGGTTAAGTGGGTACTCCAAGCCAAGACTAGGAAGGTGTTGTGGTGAGAGAGTTGTTGAAGTCTAGTGTGGCTGACAAGGAAATCCAATAGAGAACTTGTAACCCCCTTTCCAGATTGCATTTAATACTCCTACTTTTCCTCATTAAAAATACTTATTAAGATATTTAATCAATAAGAATTTTAATTTAAACTAAAATATATTATACATTTTTTTATTAAAGTGATATAACATAAGTGTAAAGTTATTCAAAATTATAATATATTACAAACCATGTTCTTTATCATAGTAAAATTCTAATACTTTATCATACTACTAAACATCCCCAAAATTCTTAATGCTCCGGACTGCATCAAACAATTTTTCTATTTGTTTCTCTTATCTTCCTACATGGTAAAATCCCTAGAATCTAGGAGTTCCCAAATTTTACAAGATTAGACATTTAATTTCAATTTAATAAATATCAAATAAAATAAAGTCATACTAAAACTATCCATACATAAGACAATTCATGTTATGCAATATGCTTATATAATACAAATTTTGATTAAAAAATACTTTTAAAAAAATATTTTGACTCATTAGTCCATGGAGATTTCCCTTTTGAGTGTTTAGTGAAGCTAGAGCTTAACGTCACTTTGTTTAGTGATTTGACAATGCCCCACTAAACACGAACAAGTCAATATTAGTCAAAGTTGGTGCATCCCGGTAGGCTATCACGACACAAAATCAAATAAAGACTAGTCATTTGTGGGATTGCTCATGCTTAAACATTTCCTAGACCAAAGGTCTATGCCCCCAAATCAAAGGTCATGCATTACCCATTCTATTTAAACATTATTTACTATCTTCTAACATTGGTAGCATCAAATAAATATGTCAGTCATATTTTCACAACCATATCAAACTCTCTCACTCTATATTTTTTCTTCCATCTTGTACTGTCGATTATCCTTGACAGTACTTACTATCACAGTCAATCTCTTACCACCAATGTTTCGGATAGTAAACGTAAAGAAAAGAATTTCAAAAAACACCATTTCAAAATTTCAAAACTCATTCTTTTACTATCGACTATCCTTGATAGTAATACATAGAAGCCATTTCTAAAATATTTTTATAGATTCTTTTGTAAAATATGTTTGTTTGTTTTAAGGGATAGACTAATAACAATATGGAAATTGTATAGCGATTTTGATATGGTGGATGTTGGACATGAGTTTTACATCATAAAATTTGATCGTGGATGGTCATTGACCACTATTTAACCATTAGACCATGGGTGTCAAATTTCATGGCTTCAAAAGTACACATTGATAACACTAAGGTATGGATACATTTTCTGTCCTTAGGTCGGGAGTATTATGACAAAAGCATTTTAGTAGCCCTAACTACAACCGTTAGAAAACCTGTTAAGGTTGATATGAGCACCATAGACATAACCAAGGTTAAATTTGCCCAAGTGTATGATGATTTGAAGTGAAAGTCAGAATACAAGAATGGGAGTTGAATTGTTTCCTTTTAAAAATTTTCTTTTTTAGATTAGTTCATTAGAAAGCTAATCATCTGAGTGAAAACAATTTTGATACATAATATATTTTACTAAAATAGTTTATTTGTTAATATGTTTATGATTTAGAATATATAGTGATATAACAATTTGAGTAGTCAACTAAATAAGCAAGTAAAGAGTTAGAGAAGGAGGGAATATACATAGAAATTTATATTGGTTCACCTCAATTAGGTTACATCTAGGCCCTACACAATCTTGTGAAATTTTTCATCAAAATCATAGCCAACTACTACAATAAATTTAGCCACTTGCTAATACAACCACTGCCTCACAACCACCTGTTGTTAGTAGCAACACTCGACCACCTATAGAGAGACTTCACTAAACTTCCTATTTAGAAATAAACTCACAACCACCTGTGATTAGACTAGCCACAAAACCTATTATGATTTCTTTTCTTTCCTACATCACTAGACTCTCGGTACTAGTTAGGAAGTTGTTTACAAGAAAATGGTTCTTGTGTTCTTCCAAAGAGTAAAGATCACAAGTTAATATCCTACAATAGAGCTTCCTAAGGAAGGTACCTCACTTCTCTTTTCTATTACAAAATAGTATTACAAGTATGAAGTGAATTTCTCTTAAAAAATCAGAGGATGAAGCAATAAAGAGTATAGTTTGGTTGAGTTTAAGTGATTTCTCTTTTTCTTTATTGCTTATTTCAAAATGAGACCAATGTCTTCCCTTTATAGACATTTAACAAATAGGTCCGTTGGAGCTTGCTTTTGTTCTTCATGTTTAACGTTGACATCATTGTTTATTTAATGTATCAGTTAGTCTTTACGAATGAGGTGTCTTCTAAGTAGGTCTTTAGTTCAAGTCTTTTGAATAAGTCTTCATATCAAGTTTTTTGGGAAGGATTGTTCCATTGAAGTTTTCTGTTCATCAAATTGGGAAATACATTATTTTTGGTTTCTTTTATCATTCCTTAACATATTTTTAATTTCCTTTAATGATATCATAGGGATGATCTTGTGAATCTTTCCAATTTGTTCATGAAGACTTCATGACTTGCAACCTTTTGATCAATTAATTTGTCTTTTGCTGAAACACTAGCACAAGATTAGTAGCACTCACTTAAATACTCTTCTTTCTAAATTTGAGACTAAGAATTTATCATTATTAAATTCAAGATAGGGAAGGATTCAACAAAATTGACCTTAACCAATCAGTGGTGGAAAATATTTGGTTCTTTTGGTTCCACATGGAGTGTTAGGGATTACACCTTATATGCAAGAAGTGTGGCTTCTTAAGACAACGGCATGCATTTGCAAGCCCAAGGAAGATGGATAAGGAAGGGAAGTGGAGAAAGGATAATCAAAATGAAACAAGGCTTAGAGATGACAAACAAAATGCAGAGAAAAATCTTGCAGGCAGTGATATAAAAAAAAAAAAAAAATACAAAAGAACCCAGTGGACTAGCTATTCTTAGATTTTAGTTTACCTTTTTTTTTTGTTTTCGTTTTATTTGTTCATCGTGTAACAAAAAAAAAAAAAACCTAAGTTTGCATAATCACCGGGTGTGTAGAGTGTGTTGAAACTGAATTTAAGTTGATATGAAAAACTCCTTTGTTACTTTTAGTTAACGTACTATTCAAGGTAGTTGAACGAATTTCTAAATAGAATTTTTCTATCATGTATGATTACAACTTTGCATAGATTAAGAAACATTAAATACACATTTTTCTTTCTCATATTTATTTAACCTCTTTCACTTGTATCACTAAGTTTAGTTTTTATTCTTGTTTTTGTAATATTTTATATAAATAAAAAGAATCTCTCTCTTTTTAAAAAATATATATATATATTTTATTAACTATTCATTTTCTTGACACAATTATTTCATAAACTCGTGTTTTTTTTTTTGGTACAAAAAGAATTTAAAGAAAGAAAACAACAAAAAGAAAGAAAAGAAAAAAAACAAACCATGAAACCCCATTCATGCAAGATTACCTAATGGACAGATTGTCTAGCACCAGTTTAATTAATTTAATTATTTATTACAGGTAAAGTTTAGACGTACTAATATGCCCGGTTGAATATGAGATATGGGAAAATAAAAAAATAAAAAAAATAAAAGAGTGAGAATAGGATATATGAGAAACCTAAGAGAAAAACTGGGTAAAAATAATTACTATAACTGTTACTATATTTAAAACAAAAATACATAATTCATCAAAGTTAAAAAATTAGTTAATTTAGTTGATAGTTATGAATTTGTCTTATTTTTTCATTTTCTCTATTCTTTTCTATCTTTTAAATTTTTAATAAAATTTTATTTTTATTTACTTATCATTTTTAAATTTTAAACAATATTAATTGTTATATTATCAATTATATTTTTATATCTCACTTAACTTTTAATTAATTTATACTCATACATTTATTATGAAGTAAAAATGAAAGAACATATAATAGAAAACATTAAAATCATTTTATGAGAAATAAAATTCTAAATTATTATAAAAGAAAAGAGATAGTATTTTTTTTTCAAAACTACTTTTATTCTATTTTCTCTCTTAATTAATATTCATCTATTTCTAAACCAATTAAAGTACATGTATATTCATTCAAAGTCTTTTAATTACTTAGCCCAAAAATTACTTTAAAATTATGTATTTAATATGCAAAGTTACACATGATACAAAATTCCTAAATTTAATTCTCTCAATTTTATGTATATATCAAAGATAGTTAATTAAACACGAGTTAGCCTGGCAGAAGATTTAGTTTTTTTTTGGAATTGCTACACTACCCTAAAAAATTAAAGGATTTCAATATATTTTTCTATGTAAACTTATAAAAGATTTTAAAAAAATTAATTTAATTATAAAATGAATAATCCAAATTATATTTATAAAATAAAAAGTAAGATAAAATTATAGAAATTAAAATTATAAGATTTCAATAGTATTATAAAATATTATAAAAAAAATTAATAAATAGTAGAAATAAAAAATTATTAAAATTACAATATAGAAATTCAAAAATTTAAGACAAAAAGATAAAAAATATACTTAAAAAATTACTAAAATTAAAATATAGAAATTCAAAAATTTTAAGTTAAAAAATAAAAATATACTTAAAAAATTATTAAATTAAACTACTTAAATATATAATAATATTGTTACAAATAAATTAGAATATATAAAATAAAAATAAAATAATTAAATAATTTAAAAATAAAAAGCATAAAATATCTTAATATTATTTAAATAAATTATTAAAAATATAAAATATAAAAAACTGTACCGGTATTCTCTCAAATAACATGGGTAGTACAAAATTTTTCTTTATTTTTTTTTAAATTTTTTATATTCCTATTAACACGTGTCACCTTATAAATTTGTAGTACCTATACTGTGCCATACTATGAACAGAAAGAGAGAGCGGTGTGGTGGTTCAGAGATCCCGTTAATTTTTCTCTCACTCTCTCTTTCTCCCAAAAAAAAAAAAAAAGAAATCCGGTGAGATCCGCAGCACAGCGCAGCCTCAACAGAAAACAATGCGGTTGGCGTTCGGTGAACCGAATTTAAATATGCACGCATGAAGCGGAAGCAGTGAATGCCACCTCGGAACGGATCCGTAGAAGCATTTATACAAATACCAAGTTCATTAACTTTCTCTTCTTCGCCATTTATTACCTTTTATCTTCTCACGCGCGCGTTTTCTCCCTCTCTCTGCGCAAAATGTCAGGTATGTGTTTGTGTGAGTGTGAGTAATAATGAATGTGCCTGTGTCTGTGCCTGTTGAACTCGACTCCAATTACGGCTTGTTTGGTTTGGTTTGGTTTGGTTTTAATTGCTTTTGGAATTTGCGTTTTTTTTTTAAGTATGGGGTTTTG